TTAATATAATAAGTATTTTGAAATTATTCGAAGAATAATGAAATTTATGGAATCAATTTGTTAACCTTGAATCTACCAAATAACCAAACATATTGGGAGAATAACAAAAAACCTCCGATCCTCCAACTTAAGTGACCGATTCAGTAGATTTTTACTAATGATTTTATATTCGAAATTGTTCCACTTTGAATCCCCTTCTTTATTAAAATATCGGGTTTCTAAATTTTCATAGAGCCTCCAAGAATTCCTTCCAGAGCCTGATGAATAATTTTTATAGATTCCATCAGATTTTTTTTTTTTTTTTTTTTTTTTTTTTTTTAATTATCATTTGAATCTGTTTTTTTTTTTTTTTTTTTTTTTTTTTTTTTGCAATTATCATTGAATCTGTTAGCAGGCTTGCCGGCACTCAAGTTGGAGGACTCAAGCTATTTTGGAGGTGTGTGGATTTACATTTTTTACTAAATTGGTTCCACAGATTTCATTATACTAAAAAAACGTATTACTTTGATAAATAACTTTTAAAACAACATTATTTTTATGATAATCTCCAATTTTGGCAAGGATTTCAGTGTTATTAATAGACACTATATGTTCAATCGATGAATAAATCATAATGTTTAAGTAATTGAGTTTGTTTTCATAGTATAACAGTAAAGACTTCAAATTCAGAACCCATTTTTTTTAAAACGAAAATTTATTGAATGCACTTTCTATTATTTTATTGAATTTCCCCTTTACTATTTTATTTTTATATTGTGAAATTGTTGCTCAGAAAATGTATTGTCACTGTTGTATCATCACTTCCAGATATGAACAAACCAATAATCAATTCTTCAATCCCATGTTATTGTCAATGGATCTTCTAAAAAATCCTCAAATATTGGAAATGTTCAAAAACCCATCTCAGTCATCAAATGTTCAAACATTCTGTAATTATTAAAGAAAAGAAAATATATCACCATTGACATTTAGTTATTAGATCTTACATAACCCCGAAGACCAGAAACTGTAATTCAATTGCAGATATATTCTAACTGCTTCACTATATTCATAATCTTCTGGATCTCATAGCATCAATTTATTCTAAAATTGGCAATTGACATCTGAGACCACAAATTACAAAATACTAACAAAGTGAAAATTAAAAAAAAAAAAAAATCAAATCTTTTATATACATATCGGTAATATCTACATACTCCTCCCCTGATATTCAAGATTAAAAACAAATAATTATTTGATAAAATCAAGAAACAGCAACCCCATCTCGATTAGTATTCATTAAGCAAAACCTGGAAGGTTTAGGCTTGAAATTTCTCCTCCTTTGAAGATGATGATTCGATGGCTTAATAATTTGCAGCAGAAAAGCTTTGAATGAATTTGCTTTAGCAAGAACAGCCAAATCCCATTTGGTAGAAGAAGAGAGACGTAGAGCTGATCTATGGAGGCTGCATCTGAATGATCCAGGGTGTGTGGTGGGTGAGCAAAGGCATGTCCTTGCTTGTCGTGTATTTTTAGAAGATGCATTTTTTGATGCCATACATAGAAAATTATTGCATCTATAATCTGCTCTGGTTCTGTTTCTTTTCCGCCAAACTAAAGGGAAGGTAGGGATTTGTGGGCTATTTTATACCCCCTCTTGGACCTCAATGACCTTTGATTGGCTTCAGTCAATTGGTTCATATTGTAATATTAGTATGATTTGTGGTTATTTTGGTTAACGATATATCTAGATGGGCAATAAAGTCTTTTAGGTGTCAATTAATTTGTTTCTTTTACGTCAACTGAATCAATCGAACCAATAAGGAATGATGTTTTCAAAATCAGACCAGTTCATTCGGTTTGATTCAGGTGAAAAAAATGTATTTTTAAGATTGTTCCAAAAAATAGTTTAATTTTAGTACATATAAGCTTATTTTAAGATCCAAATCGTAAGATAAGAATATGTAAATGTAACTGAAAAAAATTCGAGATTATACGTTCTAATATTACTCCTAAAACAAAATAAAAAAAATAGTGAAAATAGTTTTATGGGGCAGGGTAGGCATGGCTGGTTCATTGAACAGTCGGTTCTGGTTCAGAGAAACAACGTTTCAAATTTTTTAAAATGTTGAACCTGAACCGATCCTTGAACTGCCGATTCCGGTCCGGTTCCAATTTCGGCGCAGTTTCCCTTCACGGTTTCTGGTGATATATATTTTTTTTTTAAATCGATTTTAATGTTACATCTTTATTTCGTACATATTAATATGAGTTTAAAAATATTGATAAATTTTATTTTAAATAAATGTTAAAATGCTTATACTTATATGGGAATAAAATTAATTAATTTTACAAAATAATCAAATAAATTATCACTTTATTTTGTTTAAATATTATTAATTAAATAAATTATATGAAAATTTTGAAAAATGCTTCAAAAGAATAATAAATAAATTATATTTGAAAATTTTGAAAAATGCTTTTTCAAAAAATTGTTAATTTTAAACTTAGCAAACAATTTAAAAAGGAAAAAAAGTTAAAAATAATATAAATTAGGACTAAAATATTTTCTCTTTTTTTTTTTACTATTTTACTTTTTAGATTTTTAACTTTTGGAAGTTAAAGTGTTTTATTTTGTTTAAATATTATTAATTAAATAAATTATATGAAAATTTTGAAAAATGCTTCAAAAGAATGTAATTTTAAACTTAGCAAACAATTTAAAAAGGAAAAAAGTTAAAAATAATATAAATTTAGACTAAATATTTCTCTTTTTTTTTTTACTATTTTACTTTTTAGATTTTTAACTTTTGAAGTAAAGTGTATTTTTTTTTAAAAAAAAATCTTAAGTAAAGTATATCATATAATATAATATATTGAGACTTTTAGAAATATATAAAGTGATTATCATTTTGAAAATAAAAATAAAAAATTTTGGGTTCAAATCGGACCGAAACCGCAGGTTCCGGTTCATATTTTAATATTCGCATGAATCTTAACAGGCCATTGAACCACCGATTTTGGTCCGATTCTAATTCATCTACAGTACGATTCAATTCCGATTCGAACCGAACCGGTGCCATGCCTAGGGCAGGGTGGCGCAAACAGTAAGAGGGCATGTGGTACACTATACCAAAATTGGTAGCTTCGGGTCGGCAGGTGATATATGTGGCAATATAAGTGTTGATTAGGCCCAGCACCAACACAGCTTCAGCTTCAGCTTCTTCCATTGGATAAATTCTGATTTAAATTTCAAACGGTCATTCCTTAATTAACAGTTAATCCTTATTTAGTTTAAACTTCAGCTAAGATTAGACACGTACTGAAAGTCTAAAACTGCAATAACCACAAGACACGAATTTCAATTACAGATAATGATAACGACACCTTACCAAACTCCATTTCACGTTTCTAATGTATAAATTTGGTATTGAACTCCTCTGAAAAAAAAAAAAAAAAGGTATTGAACCGGTTTCGGAAATTCTGTTCATGACTTACTATGAAAGCAGTGCCAGTGGTAATAGAATGAAAATAAAATTAAGTATTTACTTCCATATTTAATCACATAATTCAATTCAGAGCTGCTAAACGAACAAGTTATATATCAGACACAATAAAGGTATATTTACAATTTCGACTCTGGATAACATTAGCAATATCAAAACTACTTAACATTCTTGAAGGACATTATAGTCTTTTTTGTCCATTTAGTCGTTTACACTAAAAAATGTTTCTCTTACTTTTCTGTCCTATCATAATAATGAACTTAATTTGACTTTTATAAAAATTAAAAAGATATAATTAACATGGTTAAATCATAATTTAATTAATTGTTTTATATATTTTTATATTAAATTTTAATGGTCCATAACCCAATATTATAGAAATGACTAATATAGGTATCAACAATAATTACTTTGTTTCTCTTCAAAAAAAAACAATAATTACTTTGTTTAATTAATAATAATGTATTTTTGGAAAAAGATGCATATTACACTTTTTTTTTAAAAAATAACGGACCATAATTTAAAAATTAAAATTTTAAGCTGAGGAAGTATTATTAATAAAAATTAAATTTCTTGTACAAATTAAATCAAACATAGTTTCACTCATTCACACTAGAAAATAAAAATATTTTTTACTATATTAGATAGATTTTGTAAACATGCATAAATACTCAATATTGGAAAGAAAGAAAAAGAAACAAAAACAAACGTTAGTTCAGTATCCAGTTGGGTATGAATTTTTGCAGTGCTTAAGTAAGCTTATAATGTCTTTACGTCTCAGCAAGCAAAGCATAGCAGTTATGGCTTTGCTTAAATTTACACGATTAGGTAACTTATCTTCTAAACGTAATGATCACAGCTTTAAAGTTGCTCAGAGCAGACCCATATTCGGCGTGGGTCGTAATTTGCAATTCCGAAGCCCATTGCTGTTCAGTAGCCGAGAGATGAGCCTCTTTCTCAGCTCATGCTGCAAAAAATCTTCCATACAATGCCAATAATTACATCATGCAGCTCCCACATCCGCAAACGTGCAAAAATTTCGGAGGCTATGCAACTAAGTTCAACTACTCTAGCCGAGCTGATACCTATCAGGCTCAAAGCTCGACTGAAAACTCAACAAGTTAAAAAATTTTATGCTCGCTCGACTTGAAAGCTCAAATTTAATTTAAAAACTTTTGAGCTGAAATTCAGCGAATATTCGAGGCTCAAATTCGAACTTGATTTGAGCTTAACATTATCAAACTACTTTAGAGCTTTTTTTAAAGCAAGCTCGAACAGCTCACAAGCCGACTCAATTCATATTAACCCCTGCTCTAAATATTCTGAAAATGGCTGCAAGCTATTCTTCTACCTGAAACTTTTCAGGTCATATTTCAGCACAGCTTTTTCTAGTTTCAACTGGAAATGAAGGCATCTACTTTATCCATACAAGTCAATGCGTGAAATCAGAAAATAAAAATAGAATTTCCAAGGAAAAAAAAAATCAAATGCAGATCTTGTTATAGCAAAAACACCAAAAAAAATCAGATGAAATAGCATAGGAATAGCAGAAGATGAGCAAATAATATTTTAATACAGGGGATGTAACACACCATTTCTATCTCATAGAGAGTTATCCTAAGGAATACCCAAGCCTAAGGAGGACTAAAATAATGTACAAAGTTCAAAAATATTAGCAATACATGTTACCAAAGATATACACAAGATAAGAGGTAAGAAACCTAATAATTTAGGACATGTCTATCGGTCTATGAGGTCTTCGCTTGGTGTTCCAGGCCTCTGGACATGAATTGCTTAGTGTATACACGATGCCTTCGCTCTCTTGCATAGATTACCCAGAAGATCAATGACAGCATTACAGCAGCAGAAACCAATACTAGCCCAACGTAGATCCATTCACTATATCGCCTCAACTTTGGACAATATTTGCTGCTGATGACGGTTAATGTCTGTCGAACAAAAGTGCAGTCTTCCAAATTAACCAAGAAAGGACCATAATGATACAACCCGTAGCTCAAGTTTACTGCAGATGCCATTTGGTTATACAGATCGGGAGTCACTCGACCGGGTGTTATACAACTTCCAGATGATGAAACATCACAGGTATAACTCTTCCATACCTATTTGAAACGGAAAACAGAACTGAGGGTTACTTTTCCACATTTTACATATAACAATTTAAACTTCAACCACAGGAAATATGAAAATTGTGGAAGCCAGAGTAAAAAACAAAAGCTAAAGTAAAAATGACCAGGAACTAAAACTTAAACCAAAAAGATAAGGAGATGGACTTTTAAGCTTCAATAATTCCAACACATATATATCAAATGCTTGATTTCTATTTATATTCCATAGACCATAATCATAGCTATTACCTCAGTGGCATTGCTCAAATCCACTTCACCAGCAACACACTGCCGGTCTGTGAAATCAGAATTAAATGGGTTGCAAAGACCAGGCATCAGTGGACCGGACTGATTGTAAAATAAAGGAGGTCCTATTTGAGGAGGGAAATTTCTGTTGGATACATTTTTTATGATGCCATCAACCACGTTGACAAGTTGATAAGTCACTTCCTTGGTTTGTCGCAAGGTTGCTTGAGCAGTTGCATTGTCGACACAAGGAATTATATCATCCATGGCTGTTTTGGCAGTGGGGTTCAGAACCCACTCATCCATTGCAACACAGGTATCTGCAACCACACTAGCATATACAAATAAACAATTATGTTTAGTTTAGTAACAATATATGTGGCAAAAGAAACATTGGTTTGGTATTCAATTTAAGTTAACTGCCACACTCTTTAACACCTTTTACATTTCCAAGTCTGAAACTTTTAAACTGCCACATTCTTCTACATCCTTTTACATTTCGAAGGCTCAAACTTTCGTATGGCATAGATCGTTAGTTGATCTGTATAGCCTTTTATTTATAGATCATAGCAGCTTCAATAATAAATAGGTGAGTGAGATGGGCTTATTTTAATCTAATTGGAATAAAGCTATTGAAAGTAAATGTTTTGCAAGTCTTTATTTTTTAGTGAACTTAAAATTTCACACATTAGAGGGACACAAACTAGGGACAGTGCAAATCCATAACTATTTCATCCCATTTATGCTACTCATGGACCAAAAACTCTAAGTATGAAAATGATACAGACGGATGAGTTTGGTTGACCTTAAGATCAAGATATTTGAACTAAAATCCATCTTTCTAATATCAACACACCTAAAAGTGGTACAATATATAAAAATGATTTTCTTTTTGCGCAAGACCAATTCACTGTGATTACTTACTTATGGACAAGTAGAAATACACCACACAAAATAAATGTTCCCGCGACAAGAATCCACCCAAGGATCACCAAGCTGCAATCAAGAATGGAACTTTAGCATAAAGCAATTTCAACTTATGAAAGTACACTTGTTTTGGAGTTTATTGATGAACAGAAAAAACAGTAAAAGATACTGTCACTCACAAGTATACAAGACACTGCATTCCCAAAATTGAAAATACTGCAACAAATGTCATCATTTTAATATCATAAGAATATATATCAAGTTGTAAAATATTAAATAACTGAAAACTCAAAACTTTGATGAAGAAACAAACTTACAAAATCCAAGAAATGCCAAACCAAGCATAACAGCAGCAAGGATGATAAGAGCCAGTCTCCTGCAATCGATGGCAACAAGGTTAACACAACAAGGTTAACACAATGATTATAAACAACATTTTGTTTTTGGGAAAAAATAGAGAGGGAGACTTTTGCTGTACATGCTATCCAAACCATGTTGTATATCCTCAGAATTATCCTGTGTACGACTGGAAAGGGTGGTACTGGATGAATTGATCTGTTTTTCAATGTTATCAATGCTGTTCCGGACATTTCCTGGTAGAAAAATATTATCCACAGAAACACTTCTTGCTGCAGCAAGATAATCTGACACATTCCTGAGGTTTTCAGCAGTAACGTTTGCCTGGCTCACAACATACTCCAATGTGTGTGTTGTAATACTATGAAACTTCTGTTGGCCCTTGTAGAGAACCACACATCCTACGCTGAAATTGCAAAGCATAACATTTAGGATGACTAAAGACTACCCTTTTTTTTTTCTAATTGAAATAAACATGTTGGAATATTGACATTTGACAAAGAGGGAAAAAGATGATTACATTGCAGAAATTGTAAAGAGAATAAGGAAAATGACGGAAAGGGCATAACATATTCGCGAATAGCCATAAGGTTCTCTTCGACAACAGCAATAACAGAGACAGATAAATGCCAGAGACAGTCCAAACAGCACAAACCAAACTCCAGCAATGACAAAGAAGGGAGCAGCCGTTAAAGCCACAGACTGCATAATTTAGATGATAATTAGCACAAAGAATTGAATAATTGCATGAACAAATACCCAATTAGTAACCCACTATTCTCTTTTTTTTGTTTTTTGGTACAAACAAATTATACATGACAAACCCAGATTATAACATGAATTATTAGATTATATAAAAAAAAAAAAAAAAAACTATTCTCTTTTTTTTGTTTTTTTGTACATAAAATTATACATTGACAAACCCAGATTATAACTATGAATTATTAGATTATATAAAAAAAAAAAAAAAAAAAAAAAAAAAAAAAAAAGAAAGAGAGAAAGAAAAAGATAACTCACAGCCCAGTAATGGTCATTGCTGATATTATAACCACCAGTATATCGCTTAAGGTTATCCAAAGGATCTCTCCTTCTTGTTCTCTTCGCTGCCAGTATCAGAGTTGAGTTTGAGGTCTCTTCATCAAGATGCCTCCTCGTTTCCCATGGCGCCACTATTCCATTCTCACTTTCACCAACCTCTGCAATCACAACAACCCAGATGAAAGATCAGATTTTTTTTTTTTTTTTTTTGTTCTTGAAAAATAGAATTAGAAGAAAGAAAAATGTGTTAAAAAAAAAAAATAGAAAACACTACCCGCAAAACGTAGAATCTCAGTCTGAGTAGAAGACACAATGGTGGGTGAGGAAGATGTGCAGAGAAAGAGAGACAAAACAAAACCAAGAAGAAGAATCAATGGTGTGCTTGATCTAGACCACACCATGGTGTTTGGTTTGGTCTGGTTTTCTTTGTTTTCTCAATGCTTAATGCTCTGGTTCAGACTGTTTAAGAGAGAAGGAGACACTGAGATAGATGGAGAGTGAATATGTGTCCGGGTATAAATTACTGGGTTCTATATTTTTGTGAACAGAACTTTTGTGTGAGATTTTTTACGTTTCCTTGTAATGGCATTTTAATTAATTTTAGTACGATTAATTTAATTACCTTGTCGGCAATGCCATTTTTGCTTTTGCCCCAAACACCCTTTTAACGTTTCCACTTCCCTGCATCTATGGTTTTTGTTGCGTTTCTCTCGATGGATCATGAATTTTAAGAGTCCTAGTTGCTGAGTTAATTGGAAAAACTCCTTGCGTGGATGAAACTTTCTTTAAATGTATTTTTTCATTCAATTAAAAGTAAATAATTACATTATCAAAATTAATATATTCACCTAATTAAACTAAACTATTCAACAAAATAAAAAAAATGAAATGGATATCAATTTAGCTCTTAAACTTATTTAAGGGGATAAAAAATTTAATTAACCATGGAATAAAGAAAAATGATACATGACGAATTTGTATCTTGAGTTTATAAAAAAAAAATTAATTTGAATATTTTAAAATTGACCTTTGTTATTAGGTTATTATATGTGAAATCTATCATTTTTTAATTGAACGGATTAAAATTATACTATTATATATTTTATAAATTTACTGTATCAGAAGAAATGATTTAACAGAATTCAAATTCAAATTTGGCTCATTTATTTTTATCGAAGAGCTACACTTGAGTTTCACTAATATCGAAATAATTCTAGTTCGGCTCCGCTTAGCTCCGACTCAATTTTTTATATCTCTAATTTATTCAAACTTAATTACTTATTTGTAAAATTGACTTATAAAAGTAAAATAATATAAATAAAGTTGGAAGAAAATAGTAAAATCAAACACCTCTATCATTTATATTTGAAAGTTATAAAATAAAAATAATTTAATGAATAAACCAAATTTCTAAAAATTATTTTTATTATTCATAAATTAAAACAATTTTATAATTTTTGTAGATAACTTCCACAACATTAAAAAAAATGAAGAAGAAATCCATATGTTATGATACTTTGAGCTATGCATGCTATTTATCTATTGTTAACAAATCAAAAATTCATTTTCTTAAAAATAAATAAATGAAATAGTCATGTGGATAACAATGTAGAGGCTATGTCAACATGTTTGGATTCTATGAAAATTACAAATTTGGGCATAAAGTAAATTTGTAATTTTGAGCATCATCGCTTTCTCCTTAAGAGATTGCAGCAGTTGGTTAAAACTTAAAAACACCTAAATCACAAAAACAATGAAATCAAAATAAGAATGACATTGCATATTTAAAAGCTAATAAAATAATTTCTTTTATACTGGCAATTAGCAAGAAAATGATAGTACTAAATTGGGATTTAAAGCAAGGGTTGGTGAGTAATTTACGCCAAAGCAAGAAATGATTTTGAAATTTTGAAAATTAAAAATAAACTTATTATTAATGTTGACGTACGGACATTTAAATTTCCAATTCGTGTCTTTACGTGGAGTGCTGTGGGAAATGAGTGGTTAGCTGTGTTTTATCATCCATTTCTATAATGGGATATTTTTATATCTTTTACCATATGTTATTCAACAATGACTTTATATATTTTTCTAATTGTTTTATAAATATTTAATAAATACAATTTTATAAATTTAATATATTAATATAAAATTTTAAGGCACCATGAAATTTAATGTATTTATACAATTTTATAAATACAAATTTTGTTTAATGTTATATTCAAAAAGGAAAATTAATTCATTTATTTCTTATATTTATATTTATGCTCCGTCAAATTGATTATGTTGAAATTGTAATGACGAGCAATGAAGGGTGGTAATGTACTTTCTGGAGAAGTTCATGGATCATAACCTAAATTTAATTAAGTTGAATTAGATTAATTAGTTTAATAGTGGTCAACAAAACATTTGAGAAAGGAGTGGAAATGGACAGTTGTTGAAAGGAGATTTCATCATCACAAACGGACAAACCATCCACTCAGATATAGCCATTTCTCCTCCTTTGATTCCCTCTCTCTCTCCCTCCCTAATTAGATGTTAGCATTATTAACTGTTTGATTATAATTTTCTATTTTAAAATAAAGGTAATTATTATGATAATATTTAATGTTAATATAAAAATAATATTAAATTCAATACGTAATAATGTAATAAATAGAAAGTTTCGATTTCGAATCCTCTCGATCATAAAATTTTTTATTAATTTAACATATTGTATAATCTATTGTATTATTTCAACTATTAGATTTCATACTAAAAATTTATTTTATATTACTTACGATATGTAATTTAATTTGCCTCTTTACATGTTGAAAAAGTATAAAGGCAAAAAATCTTGAATTTATATTTTTTTATTATAAAAATTATCATTAATTTAATGAATTTTATGTAGCGCCGTGGCTATTTATTTAACTTTCTATATATTGAAAATTTTTATTTTATATATTTTTTCTAAATATTATATGAATGACATGCAAGAACGTGTAAGGTTGTCTTAACTAAACAACATCTTTTATAAATTATTTTGTATTATATGTGTGTCCCAGTTGTCAATTTCTCTGCTTCTGAAGCTCTCATAGCAAAACGTGGACTCTCTTTTTTTTTTTTTCTTCATTTTTTTTTTTTGGGTTTTGACGTAATGGTTTTGATATTAGATTATTAAATTAGGACAGCAAATGACAGTGACTTAGATTTATTTTCTCTTTTTCAATTAATTTTTTAATCGTGTTTCTTCTATGTGAAGTGAATATTTTTTATTTTTCTTCAACGTGTTCTTGACCTACCAATGTTATAAAGTGTGCCTTATTGGTTTCTTTACCATCATTCACTGTACTCTTCAGAAGTTGTTTATTTGGTATAAAGGGAAATTTTACAATAAATATTTTTTTTTTTTTTTGAGAAGGATAAATAATTATGTTTTCATCTAATAGAAACACTTTAAAAACCAAATAAATTCATTTTCAAGACGGTTTGTTATATTTCAAATCAAATTAAATTATTTAATATGATTTAGTCTGATTTAATGGTTTAACTCATTCAATGCACGCTTCTATCACAACCGTTAATTATTATAAATTTTGAATTGTCCAAATTACAAAATATGGGATGACACGTCTCAGTCAAAAGCTTTAACTAAAAAAATTTTCACATATGTATGAAACTTTCATCAGCATATATATTTTTATTGAATTATGAAAATATAAAATATAATCATTGTCAAATTGGCTTTGCCAATTAATTTGTTGGTATAAATAGTAACGCTCCATGTGGCAGCATTATTTTTGGTTGTTTAACTAATCATTTCGCACGCATTATATGTCTTATACTCTACGAGACCGTATATATACATATTCAGCGTATACATAAAGCATGCATTTTAATAATTACATATATACTTAATTTAGAGAGAATGAATTAAATTTATTATGTTTAATTAATTCATTCAGGCGTATAAAATTTTTTATACGGATGATTTGAGGTGGAATTTTGAATTCTAATTTTAATTAATAATAGTTGCAATTAAATTTTACTGATTTAACTAATTAATTATTTTATTTTATTATTTTTTTAACTACATTATTATTTGTGCTAATGGCTTGGCCATGTGAATTGATTCTGCTTAAAGTTGTAGGGCTTGCATGTTTTTTAATTTTAATTGCACAAAATAAATAAATGAAAATATAGTAGTTGTTGATTGGAAAACGTATAGTTGTAGGGCAGACAAATGATATTACAATCATGGACTCTGAATGTGTCGCATTGCTTTCAGATTTTGATTCCTTTAAGCAAAATGATTGGATTTTTTTTTTTCTTTTTTGGTTTTATTATTTGGTCCAATAATTTTTATTTTTTTCTAAATCTTTTGAATTTCTGTCGTGAGATAATTTAATAATCAAATCCAATGGCCAGTGATGAAAAGCGATTAATTTCACAAATGCAAAGCACTTGTAATTTGTTAAACATATAGCAACTTGAATTAATCAATTGAATGAGTTGATTAAATATATAGCAACTTTAATTAAGCATATGATTCCGTTAATGGAAATCAGAATAAATCAAAACAAAAGCAAAAGGAGAAAGTTTAAAGAGATTAAGATGCCCATTTAAGAGAAAAGTTGAAAAAGATTGGTTCCCTTTGCTCGAAGGATCTGCTACCAACAATTTCATAATTAGTTTGCAATAGCTTTTTAAATAGTTTTTAGCGTTTTGATTTGCGTTAGTTTTCATAATATTGAGTAACATAGCATTTAAATTAACTTTTAGAGATTAAGATAATATTTTATGAAAAGTAACGTGTAACTTTTAGTTTTTATAAAAAATTACCTAAACAACTAACAGTTAAACACTATTAAAACAACTAAACACTACTAAAACAGCTAAAAACCACTAAAATAATTCATTTTGCATAACATACCTTTTGTGTGATGTTTGATTAAGTGTAAGTAGATTAGAGAAGTGTAATTTGCAATTTACATTATCAAGTATATTTTTCGGGAAGTAGATTATCTAACTTCTCTAATAATAAAGAAGAAGAAAAAAAATTAAAGCATTAGATGGATGGTAGGTCTATCTGATAGTAATTGTCAACATTTAGTTAGTTGGAATAGCAATTTTATTTTGACTTAAGTGGGAAATTTAACTTAGCAATTTGGTTTTTATTTATAAAATGAATTTAATTTATACTTAGCTTTCACTTAGACTTAAACAGATATGATGGATCAATTTTGAGTGCTTAATTTGGTTCAATCCATTAGTTATTTTCATGGATAAATCCAATTATGTAAGTCAAGTGATTAATCATTTATTTTCAACTTTCGGAATCTTTTCAATACCTAAATTATGATAATTAAGTAGGCTTCTTAGTGCTAGGCAAGTGATATCAAATCTTAAACCAAAGCCCAATAACATTTGGGTACCCATTTCTTCAAGTCCATCAAAGTGGATGAGGCCGGGCTTTTTGTTGCCCGCTTGGTCAAGCGTGATTGCTTTTTTTTTTTTTTTTTTTTTTTTTTTTTTTTTTTTTTGGCTGTGATTGCTTTTTTTTTTTTTTTTTTTTTTTTTTTTTTTTTTTTTTTTTTTTTTTTTTTTTTTTTTTTTTTTTTTTTTTTTTGCAAGAGTTGTTTTATATATTATTAAGCCCATTAAAGGGCATAATACAAATAAATTTTGAACCTAATGACAAAACTTATTAAAAGCATAAATTATATCAATTAATTAAAATAATGCTAGGATGGATATTAAAACTGAAATCTTTTGGTCCTGAATGGCAGGTGCCTCCACCTTCATTCACATTTTTAGTCTCATCTAAATAACTTACCTTCAAATGGATTAATAATCTTGTATAAGAAAAAGAAAAAGAAAAAAAAAAGGGTTGATAATCCAAATTTTATGCACATATTCACATTTAATCTTTCTAGTATATGATTTAAGATATAATTCATATTATCTAACGAGCATATATTAAAATCATGTAATTAGAAAAATTCAACATACAAATGGTTCTCTTAAAATGTAATTAGACATGTTATAGACTATGAGCTTGGAAAATACAAATTTTAAGAAAGCTTCATCCATAATCTTCTTCATCACTCAATATCTAATCTTGATTAAATCGAAATTTAACATATATATTGTTTGTTTTTTTTTGGCTACAAAAAAAATAAAAAAAGTCTACTAAGTATATTAGTTATTAACCCTGTAGGTCAGGCATTGACATCCTAATTTAAAACATTCCCCATAGAAGGCACCGACCTTTGAGCAATGATGGGAGATGCTACTCCTTACTGTATAAGATCGTAGGGTTGCAGTCCTCAGTCCACCCGATTTAAGGCAGCTCACAAAGTTGGCCGTGGATCCTAAGTAGTAGAGTCAATATTTAGACATCATGTATAATGGAATGGTGTCATAGAGGATCAAACTTGGATCAAATAGGCGGATGATTAACGTCTTTACTACCAGGTCACGAGCTCGGTGGTATATATTTTTTGTTTGATACCTTTAGATTTATATCTAAGCTAAATTTGGAGCCTCTGCTAAGTCGAATCACTCTCTAAATGACTGTTGAGCCTGTTATGGCCCAATAGACAATGAACTCAAGCAATAAACTATAAGATGATTTGGATTAATAAAGGGTGAAATTTATAAATTTTACAAAATTCCATATGTAATATAAAATTTGTATATTGTTAAATTAAGAAGATATTGCATTCCATTGTTTGGTTGAAAATAAAATCCATAATTTTAAAGCATATTTTTGAACAAAATTAAGTGATTTAAATTTATATAGTTAATAAAAAAATAATGGACTTGAGGTGAAATCTTTTACTTTTCATAAAATAGTGAAATTAAGATTATGATATTATTTATAAATTCCATGGATGATCTCTATCTCCTTATACAAACAATTGATGGTTCTCTGTATATACAAACCCCACTAATCTTATGATGTTTAAATTAAAAAAAAATCTTCCTCTAATGGGAAAATCCATCTTTCAAATAATAGGTTCAATGGGTAATTTTGATTTTTTTCACAAAAAAAAAAAAAAAAAAATATTTTGATGTTTTTTCACAAAAAAAAAAAAAAAAAAAAAAAATCATTAAAGTTTTTTCAATAATGTTGTTTATATTCAAAATTGTGATAGATTGACTTGTTAAATGTACGTAATGGAATGCTTTTTTTAATCATAAAATGATTTTTTTTTACATTAATGAAATTGCATTTCTAGGATAAAAAATGTAATATTTTTTATAAGCAAAAATATGAGTTCTTTCATTTTTATTAAAAAAAAATACAATTTGATATAAAAAAAAAGTATATAACAAAAAAAAACCAAATAAGAAACTAGGTTTAGTATCCTACATGTATGCTCGTTTCCAAAATTGAGATGTTATTCCTTATTGTTTATTACCTTTTTATTCTATAAGTTATTAATATGAGGTGTTTTTTTTTTTTTTTTAAAAGAAACTAGCTTGAATTTCTTATAATAAATTCCAATTTTGTTGATAAAATATAAAAATTGGCAATTTAATAGGAAACATGATTTATTTGGTGGCTTTTTTTTTTTTTTTTTTTTTTTTTTTTTTTTTTTGAGTATTGGGAGAATGGTGATTTGAATCTGAATCTATTATTGGGTCATATATACATTTACAACTAGGTTATGCTTTAGTGTACTATTTGATAGCTATTTATAGTTACTAATAAACCTTCATGATTTTGAACCGGTTCAATTTGCTAAGCCATGGTGATAAATTTTAAACCAAAAATTTGAACTCCACGGCTTTAAAAGGTTTAAGAGAACATAGTATTTTTAGGAATCAAGCGGAGAACCATTTGATCCCATTAAAAGAATTACAAAAACACTTTGGAAAAATAATTATTTGCTCCTATATAAATTACAGGTTCATATTTTTGCTTATAAAAATAATAACATATTACATTGTTCAGAAAGAGAGTATAAATGCTTAGTTGTTTAAAATTTTTATAATTAAAAAACATATGAAATTTGTTTTAACAGAAATTCTAATGAATTTAAATTAATATTAAATACAGATATGGGGTGGACCGCCTTCTAATTTATTTACGCCTTCTTCTTAATAGCTTATAGCTCGTTCTTGCTATTGCTAACACCACGTTTTATTTTTTAATATTAAACAATTTGTCACTATATAAATTAATCTAATTTTATAAATTAAAATATTTAATAATTTTTTAAGTATGGAAAACAATTCGTGTCACTGATATAATTAAAATGCTATATTTTAATAAATTAAAAATATTAAATAAATAAATAATTTTATAGAATGTAAAATGAATTTAATAGATTAATATATTTTATAAATAAAGTGTTTCGATAAGGGTAAAAGAAAAAATTTAAAAGTGTCTGATAAAAATTAGATAAAGATAAAGTATAGGACATTTTGTTATTTTATAAATTAAAATATTTAATAGATAATATAATTTTATAAATAGAAGTGTTTGATAAGTAAAAAAAAAATTTAAAAGTGCTATAAAATTAATAAGATAAAGTATAGACATTGTTTTTGGGTTGATTAATGCAATGTATAGTGATTTTATTTAGCCTCTTAAGCAGGCATGGAGGGTTTTGACCGGTCAAAAATTGAAATTGTACTCTCTCTTCGAGGAGCTACGGCACTGCTGTCTCTTTAGCATGTAGTCAAAGGAAGCACCCCCTCCATCATGACTTGTTAATTAACAAATTAGGTAAAAATACATTTAATTCATATTTTGGACTTTAAAAAAAAAAAAAATTCAAAATTTGGTTAATTATCCATCTCAATTTTGCAAATCAAAATGATACCATTCGTGTTTAATTGTGAAGCATTGAAATATATTTATTATAAATTTGAGAAATGTTTGCATATCTATGCAAAGCAAATTAAGAAAATAATGTAAACGTACGACATGTTTCGTGAAGTGTACAAGTATAGAACAATAAGACCTCGATTTTATGACATGAATTATTAATTTAATCATATAAAATTGGAAAAAATGTACAAAACCATAACTTGGAATTGGGAATCACGTGATGCCATTAAGACAAAACCCCCCGACCAAGTGATTAATTATATAATTAAACTTAAAATTTAAAAGAAAGAAAGAAAGAGAACATTGAGGATTCAGTCAAAATATAAAAATTACTATAATTAAGCTAATTAAAATTTTGATTTTTTTAATGATAATAATAATAATGAATTAGCTCTAATTAACACAGAGGAGATCGATGAGGAATGCCTTTTCTTCTACTCATGCTAGTAGCCATGTCCTCATCAGAAACTTTATAATTAGCTGATCTTGCACATACGTATAATCCACTCCTCTTCTTCCGTACAATCTCCGTGCATACCATACTCGTGTTCTCTGATGACCCCGACGACCAACTCATCGGCTCATCGGAGTCTACGATCGTCGAGTGAGGTGTCTCATTGGTCACCTCGTCCTCTCCCATGTCTTGAGGGATCAAGAAGTCAGGACTAAGCGTTAGAGAGTTACATCTCCTTAAGTATGGAGAGAGGTCCTTATAGTGCTTCAAGACAAAATCCACCTATAATAACAGTTAAACGATACAAAATTAAGGAAATTATAATTAAAGCATAAATTGAGTTCATCTTTTAACATTTTTAATTGATCACCGATAATTAATTATTCTTCAATAGATGATATCTATATAGCTAATGATGAAAAAGAAAAAAACCCTAATTGCAATTTAGCATAAAAACCCTAATCATAATTGAAATTATTTGTTCAATTTTATAAAGAATGAAACATTAAGATTTGAATTATCGGTTTTCTATATTACGAGACAGATACTTAACTATTTATGAGCCAGAGAGTGGTTTCATTGATCTCTTAAATTATGTACTAAAAATCAATAGAATGAATCAAAATTGAGTGACATACCTTGCAGCCAAGAGAGCAATGGATAAAGGGTTCTTGAAGACTCCTATCACAAGAAGTGCAATAATTACCAGACCCTTTAAATTGCCTGTTTTGAGGTCTCTTCTTGATGAACACCACTTTAGCACTATTGATGGTATAAGCCTAATTAAGAAGAAACATAAGTAATCTGAATTATGGAAGAAAACAACATAAATACACAAAAATTAACCTAACATGGGAAACAAACCTGAACATTAGAGCAGTCTATAAGCTTCTGAAGGTCTTCCAATCTAACAACATCATGATAAACATAACGGCGAACTTGAAGAAGTCTATGAAACCGATGAGAAGGAACACAATGAGGGCAAATACTAATGCAACAATCCAAACAACAAACGTTCTTTTCATTCTTCTTTGCACTTTCATGATAAGAGCATCCCACAAAGAATTTCTGAGTGTAAAGAGCTTCCAACCATGCAGGCTTCTGAATTCCCTATAAAAGTTATAAACAATTACTACTAACTAGAATTAGCTATATAGATAATAAAAATTTCTTTCAATTCGTTTTCGACTGAGATATATATATATATATAAATGAGTAAGAATTTCGCTGGAGATAGTGAAGAGACGAACCATGATCACATAAACTAACCGGAAGGAAGAGCTTGCTGAGATGATATTAAGACAGCAGTGTTAGTACAAGAAGAGAGAGAGAGAGAGAGAGAGAGAGTAGGGTATGGAGATAAGAGTATTTATGGAGGTTCACAAGAGAAGAAAGGTTATATATTTATTCCTTGGAAGAATACATAACATTTTGTCAATAGGGAGAGAGGGCTTTGTTTATATCTTATTATATGAAACGTGAGTGAGAGAGAAAGAAAGAGAATTAATAATTAAATAAAGAAAAGAAGTAAGATATGAGGAGGAGAACGTGGGCGCTGTTTCTGTGTCTCCCATTCTCTTCTACTTGGTTTAAACTATTTATGTTTCTAATCTTCTTGACTTATGAGCTATGGAGGCTATCTCTCTGTATATGTTTTGCTAAACTACTAAGCTTTTCTTGAACTAGCTGCTTTACCCTAATATTTTTTTCAACATTTTCTTTTATTTCATTTTCATCTTTTAATTACACCATATTTGGTTTTTTCAAAAAATAAAATTTAACTGTTTTATATTTTCCAAAAATAAAATTTAAATAGAATTTTGGATCTACACATCTATTTTTATTCTATTTTCAATTTTCAAGACAGTGGAAATAAACCGTTATGTATAGTTCAGAAGTTCAGAACAAAACAAATACACAAACCCAAATGAATTTGTAGAGTACACTGCAACTTGCTCAATTTATGTGGGTTTGTTCATGCATACTCATTGTGATCAAGAAATGCTGTTGATGGTAATCATGCATCATGTGTTATTATTATTTTATTACTATTATCATTTTGAAATATTTATATATATTGGACTATTTATATTTCAGCTTAACATGAGATTGTTTTGAAACATGAGTTGAATTAATTAACCAACCTGCTTTCCTCCTAATCACCTTGATTAGTCGGTGATTTCAAGTAATTAGAGGAAGAAACACACTTGAAAAGTTGGATTTTACTACTATTAGAATGCACCTTTTCCTATTAGATACAACACAACTTCTTTTGCCTTTAAAGATTGCCTTTTTGCACATATTTTTCATTAGTCCTAAAATGCAATAATTTCTTTGACTTCAAAATTCAACTCAAGGTATGAATGCATATATTTTGAAACAAAGATATAAATTTATATTTTGACATGTATAAATTTTATTGTCAAACATTGTATATTACGATGCAAACACTCGATTAATTACGATATTGTAATGATACAATGACCTGCATATTTTCTGTTGTTACAGCAAATAAAAGTATCCCATTAGTTGAAGTGATATAAAGCTAAAAACAGACAAGTACGAGGAAAACCGGAATTTATGGAATCAAACATGGCAACATCCATCAATCAACCACTCCACTAATTAGAAGCTGTATTTGGCTATTTGCTTCAACAATAATTTGTAAAACGAACATTAGTCAGACAAATACAACTCATTAAGCACTTACTTATCTCTAATTGGCCTCATTAATTACCAATTTTGAGGGATCCTTTTTGCCTTTTTGCCCTTGCCAAAGGTTAATCTAATCTTATGTATCATTCCCTTTATGCCCTTTTTATTATAAGCTAATAATATATTAGTAAATGATTTAAGGTTGAGTTCAAAACTCAAGATCTCATGCTCTAATCCCATTTCAATTTTTTCTTGTTATTTGCTGCGGAAAGTACTTAGCTAGCGGGTTGGTAGAGGGAGTGAGAGGATTCCTGCTTGAAGTCCAAACTCTACATTTTTTTAAAATTTTAATTTATAATAAAATGATTTTATTTATATTTGATTCCCCTAATTTTCAATTTTCTTTTTTAACATACCCCTATAATGGAATCTAGTTCCACGGTTGGTATATATATTTATTCATCGTGTATCCGGTCAATAGTTGATTGTTGATTTATTTACTCAATTTATTTACATAAATTTAAAATATATATGTCTCAAACTCGAGACATCCAAACATTTCTATACCATTAAATCAAAACCCATTAGTTATATGATTTTTTTTTTAAATATTGTGTAATTTTAGCAACAAAATAGCATTAAAGGCGATCAATTTTACCATGATTCTATAAATTAAACCCTGATTACAAATCAACTTACCGATTAGGTCAACATGATCAATTCCAATATATATCAAATCAAATATATTTTTTATATAAAAAAAAGAAGGCCAATGAATTTTTTGAAACTTCCAAACTTTCGGTCATCAATCATAGCATTTCATAGAAGAGGACAATTTAATGGCTCTCCTTTTTGTGAAACAAAATTACCAAAAAACAGGAATAAGATATTTGATTTGATAAGAAAATTCAAATCTCTCAATTAAGACCTATATTACCTAGCTTTGAGTTGGCATCTAACATAATCACAAATGACAAATTATTTAGGCAAAGTGTATAGTTTGGACTAACTTGTAGACTCTAGCTACTTCTTCCTTGTTTTGCTAGCAATAGAATTTTTTTCTAATTATTAAATTTATTGTAGGGCTACCTATTTTTAGCATGCACCTATTTATTATTTTTTTTGTTGGATAAAATAGGGGCAATTGTTATTTTTAATTAATTATTCATAAAATTTATAAGATAAATTGTACTTATATACATTGATTTAGGTTACTGTTAGGGCTTAGGTTAAAGTTATCTATAAATAAAAAATTATTAATATAAATTTTTGCCATTATTAATTAGAGTTTTAGAAATATGTAAAAACCCTTTTAAATTAAAATGCATTTGTTTTCTCTAGCAACTTGCAAGTGATTTTTATTTTTTACTTTTTATTGAATCTTTTTTCAATGTTTTGTTTTCTTCTTTTGTATTTATTGTTACCTTGATTTTCTTTCCATTTGATCCTCTGTGCTGCTTAAGGGCTGTTCGGAAACTGATTCTTACGTAGTGTTTAATGTTTTGACCAAGTTAAAATATTACCTCTATTATTTATATTGGTGAATTGTTTATATTAATATTTTGAATTTGAGAGAGCAAATTACGAAACATTCCTTTAATGTTTCATGAAATGTTCGTAAAAACAGCTAACAACTATTAGGACAATTATGATTAATAAAATAATTAATTTTACCAAATAGGGCTTTAGAACATGTCTTTAATATAGTCTGATAAATAGCAATTTAGTACTTAGCTTTGATAATTATTAATTAATAAAAAATTTAACTACCTCACAACTAGTTTAATATAATTATTAAAGTAGTTTGGGAGTAGCAATTTTGGAACTTTTGTGATTAAAATATTTGGTATTCACTTTAATAAAAAAAAAAAATTTAATGTCCTCTAAAGTCTATACAAAATTTTAATATCATAACTTTTTCCTAAAGAAATACTCAAACAACAATATCAAATAGACACTTAATTATTGAGGGAAGGTTGAGACTTGTTCCTATTTATTTATTCATTTTGAGAAAATATTTTAGCTCTTAATTTGCAATTATATTAATTTTTGATAATTTGACTCAAATGTAAACAACCTCACAAAATTAAAATGCAAACTCTAAATGAATATTCATTTATAAACACATGAAAATTTAAATTTATAAATAACTTTTCCTTAATTAAGACACTTCCTTACATAAGTCCAATGTATTGAAAAATATTATTTATGAAATTCTTTACAACGAAATCAAATCCTAGTTGATGAAAAAAAAAAAAGAAAATTGATTTTTGCTAATTAGACTAACCCAATTAACACAAATATATTAAATTTAATAATATGCATTTGGTAATAAATTAATATTTAATAATCATTTTGACTGAAATTCTTTTTTCATAATTTTTTGGATTAAAGTTCAACAAGGAAAAAAAATAGTTAGCAGCTATTGTTATTATATATTATCATACAAAGATCTTCAAGAGCAAGGCACCAAGAAAACTTGACAAGAAGGAAACTTGTAATGGGTGCATCTTATCTTACAATAGCTGACATCTTTTTTTGCATTTTTTTTTTCTTTTTCTAAGAAAGAGCAAAATGAAAAGGAATGTTAATTAATAATATTCTATATATATATATAACCTCTCATTATAATTAGATAATAGAAGTAAGCTTTCAGCCAATACCAATCTCTTAATCACCGAAACCGACTAATCGAAAGTGAGCACGTGACCATCAATAATCAAATCAACTTAATTAAAAACCTTCATTAAGATTAAATCATTTTCTGAAACAAAAATTCAAGTAAAAACAGGAAAATCAAAAAAAGAATTTGCCGACCCCCACGTGCCATGTAATGTAATAAAAGTTAAAAATGGGATTACAGTAAGCAGGGAGGTCACGTGCAAGGGATCCAATGGCCTGACATTTAACGAAAGATAAAAAAGAGAGAGGTGCTGTGTGTGCCTTGGACTGACCAAATATTCCTCTTTTTGTAATAGTAAAATATGCATATTGTTGGTTTGGTCAAAGGTCAAAGATCCAGAAGTGAACAGAGATTATGGGAAAAGAGGGGTTAGAAGAACAAACAGAGGGTGGGTCAGCGTGTGAGCCGCACGAGGGGATCTCTCTGCCAATATGTCACTTTAACCCTTTTATTTTATGGGCTCAACCACCTTCCCCTCATGGGCTACTGCTCTTCCCTTCCCTTTTTTTTAAGGACCAAGTCATGTGCTTACCCTTTTCACCTGTCACTAAAATATAACCAAATTACACCATCATGTGACCCTTGTTACCTCAATTTCAATACATATCACAATAATATACAATTTCCAAATCAACCATCTAGAGTGTTTTCATTTCCATTCTTGCTATTTTCAGACAATTCTCAAGAATTAGAATATAAACACCATACAATATCAGTTGAAAACTCAGAACAAGAGCCCGTTTAGTTTAATTGTAGCAGTTAGCTGTTAGCGACTAGCTATATAAGTTAGCTGTTCAGACCAATTGCTTTTAGTGCATAAATTCTGCAGATATATTTGACCAAAGAACATTAAGCTAAAACAAGTATTGCAAACCTGACATTGATAGGGTGGGTGTTATCTATCTGCATATTAAGACTATGATTTGTTGAAATCATTACAATGATTGTTGACTCTGAGCACCTCAGAGCTATTACTTTCAGATCATTCTCAAATTAATCTTCAATTAGAAAGCCTGACCAGATTTCATTAGTGACCAATAAACATCAATGTTGTCATTAAGCAGTGGTTAAATAAATAGTTTTTTGGCACATCAGAAAACAAATTTGATATATTTTTTTTTATTAACGATGAAACTTTACATCTTCCCCAGGTTATCACCTTTTCAGGTCTTGCTAATTTTACATGTCTATACAACTGAAATATACAACAGAAAGGTAATATGATAAGTCCAATAATAGACATAACGTTGTTTAAGTAATCTATACCTAGTCTGAAGGCTTCTCAGCAGAGAACATGATGAAGGATTGCTGAACTTTGCTTTTGTAGTTGGTAAGACCACATGATGTGCACAAGTCCTCGATCTCCTCCTCAGTGAAATAGAAATAATTCTCCTGTATTCTCTGCCACAACCATTACCACCTTCAGATGCAATTTATGACATAAAACTATGTGCAGTAGAGATCAAAATATCCCACAACTCCTTTAACTGCAGAATCAGTTTATACAGACCTCTACTCTCAATAAACCTATTATAACCAAAAAGCAATGCAGGATATACAATTTTTACCTCTAAAATAAAATCATCTAGTTTTGTCTTGCTTTTATATTAAATAAGCAAGCATTTTACATCTGGAAATAGGATGGTGAGTATACATCATTCATCCACAAGTTGGATATTGATAGAATTGGGACATTATTCAACAAAACACTGTTTATGGGAAGTAGAAGAATCTGTTGAGTAGCTGATTGAACATTTAGATAATCACTTTTCGCTACTGCAACCTTATTAAGTAGTTATAAACTGCCAGGTTGAGCAAGGTATGTGTTTCAGATGAGCCTAACATTTAGAGGTATAGTACATACGTCAAGCTACAGAATATTTAATCCCAAGGCCTGGCAATTAATCTTTCTAGATGATGAGTATTACCTGTCGGAAGGGCCGTAGTATCCAGGAAGTGGTTGCACTGTATTGAAGAAAAGTGGTTCCGACAAAGACCCCACCGCTTCGCAATACACGACAGATTTCAGCAATCTAACATGAATAGATAATGTCATTGATTGAAAACCATTCTTGTAAAATAGTCGTGCATCTATTCAAATAATGAGAAAGCATTAAACTAAACAAATTAGTTTCATAGAAAGAAAGCAGTATGAGCAGTCAACATCAGCAAGTGGATGCAACCACAAGAACCATAAATGCTAATCAGGCAGCATACCATGTCCAGGCCAACACTGAGAACCTCACTACTCGACTAAACAATTGCTAAATCAAAGCAATGCATAGATCCTGCGCAAAATCAGAGGTCAAGTGCTCTGAACACCAACTACTACTGATTGCATTTCCCTAAGCAGGATACAGCTGTATGTTTCACGAGAACAAATTGCAGGACTTATTTTTGGGCATTTGTCTCAGGTAAGCAGGAAGTTGCTAAGACAATTCAAATGATTGCAAATATATTAACTTAGGTATATAATTTACTTCCAGATTCAGGTGATGGCTGCTATTACCTGATCAAACAATATCTAATTCCATTAAAAAACACGTCCAGCTTCAAAATCTATCATCATAACTTCTACAACAGTTTTGTCATTTACAAGCTGCATAATTTTGTTGAGTAAGGGAAATAATTTCTTGTTAAGAGGCTGCATCAACTGTGAAGAAGGAAATGTTCATCAAAAACTCAAGCATCCTTAGCTGTAGATGTCTCCTCTGTTCTGCTCCATTGTGAGGTAGCATGATTACAACCTCATTGGTTTTTAACTCATTCTGGGTAAATGAATTACCAAAATCCCTCCTCAAATACTTTATCAACGTGCTCAAGCATATAGTACCATACAAGAATGAAGCATCTTACTGAACTTTGTAGTTTGCATGCTTTTAGGTTCCACTTCTGGCATATGATACATCCCATACACTAATTTTGCCTTGATCCTTTCTAACATTTTACTTCAATTACTTAAAAGGAAGGGACCTGGTTATAATCAAACTTGCTTCTTATGAAGGAGACACATAAAGCATTTTCAAAGCATCAAGCAATAAGCTTTCTTCATCTAGAAACACCTATAGACTATACCAAAACAAATCATACACTAGAACGTGAGCTCCTACAACATTTATGTGAAGGGCTCCATTACCTTTTATGAATTTAGGAGAGTTTAGGATCTAACAAGTGTATTTATATGCATAAGAGCCTGTATATGACAAACATGCAGAAGAAAATTGAACGAGAAAGGTCACTTACAGCATTTGAAGGAGAAGGCCAGCAATGTAAGGCTGCACCAGCATGAACAGCATCGACTGAACCTGATGGGAAGGGAAGTCTTGAAACATCAGCTCGAACAAGAGCAAGATTCCTGCATGTTTTTAAAGAATAATTAATTATTTCCTACTTTGAAAGCTTACAAAAATTGGAAAAAGAAAATAGACTTACGTATTTGAGATAGTAACATCTTGCTTAATGAAATCATAACATTGGCGAAGCATGTTTTCAGAAAAATCAAGTGCAATAACTTTAGAATAGGTCCCAGATTTGGCAAATTTTCGGGAAAACAATCCACTGCCGCAGCTAACATCCACTAGGAGACCACCTTCTGCTTGTTTGAAGTACTCCTGGGCCATTTTAAACTGCAGTAACCACGAAATGTTACCAAGTTGATTATGAACTAAGCAGCAGTATCACAGAACAGAGGACAGGAAGCACTTGGTATTACTTCAATTCTCAGACATAAATGTCATTCTACAGAACATATAATCTTTGATATCATCCAAGTTAGATATAGACGAACAAATCATACATGATAGAATAATTTAGCAGCACTCATATTTTGAATGACCCAAATAATATTCGTCCCGACAAAATATTTGAATCATAAAATAATCTATGGCTTACCTCCTCATCAGGACCAGGAAAGCCACTTCGATTAAAATTCTGACGCCATCCTCGCTCATACAAGAATGAAACAAGTGGACTCCTAAGAAGGTAAAAATTAAGGTAAGGGTTTTTCCTCGAACCATTTTAGCTACACTATAAAGTTTCATATTCAAGAGGCATGCTGATTCATCATAACTTCAAATCTCTCATCAACATAAATAGTTGGAAACTATTTCTAGATGCATGAAACAAGTGTTTATCAAAGAGTTATGGCACACAAGGTTTTATGTACAAGAGTGTGTGATAACTTCAAATTCATCTGAACAGTGTTCTGTGTGATATCATCAGATTAAGTTCAGTAATCTTAGTATACCGGAATAGCTCGCTCCTAGCAGGTTTGACTTCAGTATATTCTTTCATTGCAGCAGTAATTGTGAGGTCCAGATATTTGTCTTTGCTGGTGTATGTTTTGTTGCATTTCTTACATTTGAAACCAGACCGGTAGATTGCGGACCTGCAGGTATTGTAGTTACCATGTCAGATCCTAAAGGAACATCAGAAAATGAAAAAAGCTTACCATACCATTAAGAATCACAACTTACAAATTAAAACCAGGCGGGCCTTTTCTTATGAGAGGCTCATAACAGATTGGACAAGCAAATGGGTCAACTTCCAAAGTTTGACTCTGCTCTTCCTGTTTGCCTAAATCCTGAATGCAGAGATTCTTATCAAATCTAATAATATATCAGAACTAAAAACTGGAATTAACATTAGAAAAAAAATCATATTCCATTTATAACATTTAGATCAGGATGTCTTAGACAGGCAATGTATGTAAAATCGTTCAAGTACATTTGTTTTCGGCTGCACTGAAAATTCAAACTTTCAAAGTCTATTACAATTCACAAATGCAGCCCAAATTGGATAAAAGAAGTGTTTAGTTGGAAATAAATCGCTTCCCATACGACAAATTTTGACAGCACTTTCCCACAGCCTTGACTACTGGGCTTAATTTGTATCTGGATTTTCCAAATAAACATGCCTTAATTGATTGGTTTTCAAATAAAAGCAAGAATCAATAGGAATTCATTCTTCTTCTGTCATTTTTAATCTACATAAAAGAGTAAGTAAAAGGTAAGAATTCAACCTCTTGAGTAAGTTCAAAAAGTTCAGGAAATTGAATCCTAAATAATGAGAATTTACATTCAAAATTCTAGTGTATCTCAGAAATCAAAAGCACCTTACTTCTCTACCAAAAACAAAGAAAAATGATAATTCAGTTAAAACATTCCAAAACCATTCAATTTATTCAACTAAGCCATCAAAATTCTCAAAACAAAAAAGGAAAAAAAGCGTAGAACATGAGAACAGAGAAAATTAAAGTATTTACTCGTTCAAGAGCAACTGCTGAAGTGGCGCGAATCGTGGAGTGGAACCTGAGCGAGGAAAACTGGAGACGAGGATGGAAAATTCGGGAATTACGAGAAAGATGAGGGTATTTCGGGTACAAATTTTGGTGAAGGGGGTGAAGAAAAGATGAAGATATCGCCATGGAAACGGAAAGATAGCTGAGTGTCCAAAATTCTAGCTCTCTCCTTCTGTCATCTGTGCGCAGTGCGTCAGTTCGGTTGTGTCTGTTATTCTTTGAATATCTGTGGAAATGGATAGGCAACGTTGGTTGTAAGTGGACTGCTCATTATTACATTTAAATATTTTTTTAATATAATTTAACATTGGAAAAAAGAATTTTTTTTTTTTATGCATAGAAATTTAAAATTACTAATTAATTAGGACTAGTGGTTGCCCCTTTGGATTATTCAGAACATCAATTTGCTATTGTCTTCTTGGAATAAAAGAATCATTTAACATCTAATAACTGGATGTGTTAACCCTCAAAATTTTAATTAAAAATTAATTCACTTTGTTTGTTATCACTTTTATTTTTAAATTTAAATTCAGCTAAAATGAAGACATCTCCTGCCCGAGAGATGATATTAATAAAGAGTGAAATCAAGATTTAATTTGAAATAAAGTTTGGTAAATATTAGAATAACTAAATTAAAGGAAGCATTGAAGCTGATGAAACAAGAGAATTTTTTATTTCCGTTCTTTGATTTTCGATTGTAAACAATTGATGAATGATAATCCTTCATGCGAGTTCAAATTATTAGAAAATCAGCGAATTAGTCTGTTGATTTGCTAGGGCGAGCAACTCCTCTCCATCTCTTACTTATGATGTTCTTCAATTTGATTCCAATAATATATAAGCATCTTATGCTTTAAAAAAATAATAATAAATTCAGGGAAACAAATGGTTAAAAGAAAAATGGAAATAACTGTAGGTTCCGCAGTTCCAATTACAGGACTAAAACTATAATTCTAGAGCCATTACAATAGATTCATATGAATTAATTATTGTGGGTTTGCATAGATTGCACAGGTTTAATATGTTCTTACTTAATTGTAAGACCTGCATAATCTGTTGGTGCATATGGAATAAATAAATCTGATAAAAACCCATTTTTTCTTCTGGGGTTGTAGCCCATGTCCTTGCAAATTTGGTCATTGTACCAAATACCAGTGTCGTTAATACAAGCTCTCTTATAGTATCGCCCAGTATATTTTCTGATATGGTCTCCCCACATTTTGGCCTCCTTTTCCATCTCTCTTATGCAAGGTAATTTAAGACTTCCATCAAGAAAATGTGCCAACCACATGCTTTTCATTTCAGAGTTTCCCAAGTTTGATAAACTTTCATTGTATCCGATAATTCCTAATTGAGGTATACGAGGATGAAGAACTTGTCTGCAGTAATCAAATACAAAAACAAGTTGCTTTAAAAACTTGATTGGCTTGGTGTATTAGGTGTATGCAAGTCTTATCTGTTCCACAGAGTACCTGCTGGATTTTTACATTGATGAGGTATCTAAAAATGAAAATTAGGAAAGTACCTGTAGAGAAGAACTGGAGCCGCAGCCTGTATATATTCCTGGAAAACTGAAGACTCAAAAATAATTTTAAGCTTTTCAAGGCCATTGAATCCTGTGGCATAAATCACAACATCTACTTCTAATGGCTGGGCTTCTCCATCAATAATTAGACCTTCATTACAGAAACCAACGCTTTTTGAATTCTTAATAAAAATACTTCCCTCTTCTAATTTCTCGAAGAATTTCTCAGACAGCGTTGCCATTTGACAAGTAGAGAAATCTTCATCAAATCTCCGTTTGGGTAGCATTCCATATTTCTTCAATGGAAAATTCCATCTTATATAATTCTCCATGACTTTTGAATTTGCCCATCTCTGGATATTCATATATTGGGATCATAAATAAATTAATAGTTCAAAAATTTAAAGTGTTGAACGAATATATATATATGAAATAAAAGTTACCAAAGGTGAAAGCAAAGTGGCCAAGAGAGCTAACAGAAATGTTTCGCCGGGCTTATGAACTAGCAGTTGTGAGAAACGGTTAGCATACAAAAAACCAATCAAAAGTCCACAGAAGAAGGTACTAGGCATAAACCAACGTGCACTCCTTTGAATTACTGTGCATGGGTACTTGACTCCTAAAAAAATTCCAATTAATACAATCTCATCAGGTAAAATTAGATATGAATTTGCTAGGGTTTATTTATTTATTTGTTTTTATTTCTTGCATTTGTTTACTTTTTGCTTACCATTTGTATTCGCACATTCTGCTGCTATATCAGCTCCAGATTTATTGAAACCTATTATTGCAACTCTTTTTCCTTCAACCAAATTTGCAACAGTCATATCATCCAGAGCAGAGAAGTCCATTGAATGCTTCACCTTGCCCTTAAACACTTCAGGCCCTTTATTTGGAGGGAACTCAGGAATATTTGGATAGCCACCATATTGTCCAATGCAAAGAATCACAAACTCAAAATGGTACTCCTGCATGCCCATTATAATTCACCAGTTCTTTCAAAAATCAAATGTCAAAAAAAAAAAAAAAAAAAAACAAAATGTCAAAAAAAAAAAAAAAACAAAACAATCTTTCAAAAATCATTATTACTCTAAATAATTAACTTTCTTGATGTAAAAAAAAAAAAAAAAAAAAAACAATCTTTCAAAAATCATTATTCTAAATAATTAACTTTCTTGATGTATGATTATATTATCTAATCATACCTTAATAAGTCTGCCATTTTTGGTTTCTTGAACTTTGATGTGCCACTTCCCTTTAGACCCAAAAGCCTTACCATTTCCACCCCATAAATCCCAAGATTCCATTTCTTGAAATGATTCTCCAACATAATCTATTCCAATAACCTTGGAATTGAACTTTATGCAAGGAAAGATTTTGAAAAATTCAGCATAAGATTCGAGATACTCAATAACTTGGGTATGAGTTGGATGCAAATCTTTTACAGACGACGGCCATGGAAAATCAGAGAACTGGTAAAGTTCTCTAGTGTTTTGCAGTCTAGTTGATTCCATAGTTCTTGCCCAAATTCCTCCAATTCTTGCTTCTGCTTCAAACACAGTTGGCTTGAATCCTTTGTTGAGAGTGTATTTACAGGCAAGAAGACCACTTATTCCTGCTCCGATTATCGCCATTCGTTTTTCCATTTCTGATTGTAAGAAACTCAAAATCTAAAGATCTGCGTTATTTTTGCAGGGATTATAACTTATCCAGTGGGCCCGCGGAAAAATACGGTAATAGAAGTAAAATAAAATTACTATTACCATATATACCTCTAATAATTACATATCGGATATTGACGATCGAATTCATCAGAAATAATAATCACGGTAAAAATTAAATAATTACTGTAAATGCCAGATGAAAAATAAAGACACTAAAATTTACGTGATTCATCTTATACTGTTTGTCTATAGGTGTTTTTCTAAAAAAATTGAAAATTTTTAATCTCATTACTCGTTGAGGTGAGATGTTCATGGAGGATTTGACATAAAGTATCTCGTTGACGTGAGATGTTCATGGAGGATTTGGCATAAAGTATCTCGTTGACGTGAGATGTTCATGGACTATTTGACATAAAGTATCTATTGCAACTTTGGTGAATAATACCTTAATGGACTATTTGACATAAAGTATTCTAAGTATCTCGTTGACGTGAGATGTTCATGGAGGATTTGGCATAAAGTATCTCGTTGACGTGAGATGTTCATGGACTATTTGACATAAAGTATCTATTGCAACTTTGGTGAATAATACCTTAATTTAGGTTTATATTCATAAATCAATAATAAAGAAGTTGTGATAAGTGTTTCCATTTATTCGAACTTGTGGTCACTCATATGTTTAATATAAAATATAAATATAATTAAATTAAATCATTACCTAATTGAGGAAAGAAATTAATTCCAGTTATATAGTTCTAAAATTATTTGAAATTGTATAATAATTAATGTCACAAGGTTCAAATTAATAATTAAAGAGATTTTCAATCCATTTGGCCCATAAATATTTCACCACCAATTTTGTTGAAAAAATATTTTAAGTAAATAAATATTTTTTTATTGAAACCATTAATTAACCTATGAATTTTTAATAAAATATTAATTTTTTATGTACTTTTTACTCACTGATTGTCAAAACCACCAAAATGGATTGTTAGTTTTAATGAAAAAACTATTTAATATTTCATATTTTTTTTAATTAAACAACCACTTGATTTCGTAGTTTCAACGCAAAATAAAAAATATTACTTATTTTTCTTATTACTTTTTGCTCGTTATTAGTCGATAATATTAAATTTATAAATAGTTTTAATTTGACATTTGTCACGACCCATTTCCATGGACCGGACCGGCACTAGGACCTGGGTGGGCTTAAGGCCCCCGAAGCCCGTAGTAAGCCTATATTATGCAACAGCCGTGTAGTAAGGGCGCCTATATTATGGCAACCCTCATTTCCACAATCATTAACTGTGGATACAGGACGACGAACAACACCAGAACATATATCATCGCCTCATACTAAGCTATATAAGTGAAATAATATATAATGAAAGTTGCAAAGAAGCTGTAGGAACTAATAATGACCTAATTTTTATTTCTACATGAAACTCATATATGATTAATTCGTTTATTCGTTTTCTTATCTTTTTTTTCCTTTAACCTTTCATTTTATAATTTTGGGACTTTTATATTTAATATTTAATAAAAAATAAAACAAATTTAATAAAAAGAAATAAAGAGTTTTCTGCTTTTATAATTTTCCCGAAAAATTCGTTAAAGATTTATTAATCCGATTCCGTCATAGGTATTTTTATTATAAAAAGGGGATTCCGGGGAGACATATTATAGCAAGATCTCTATTTTCTATGCATAAGTAAAAAAAAAAATGAAAAGAGCATGAAAATCGTTTTATTTACCTTGTCAAAAGTTTTCTTTTTTTTTTTCACGGAAAAAAAGAATTTCAACCCTGATTTTTTTCTTGTGATCAGAGGTTTCTTAATAGTAATTTCAGAATTATTCGGCGTAAAAAAAATTATCTGCATAGTTCTTTCTACATTCGCCTCTTTTATGTTACAAAAAATCCATCTTCGGATTTTTCCTTTGATTCCGATAAAAAAATTTTTAACTAATTTAAGATTTCAACTAATTAAATTAATTTTTATTTTTTAATTTAACTAATTTAATTAATATTACTATTTAATTAACTATAACTTCAAGAGCTCTAACATTGATTATATGACTTTTCAAAGGAAAGAAGAATCGTGAAGCTGCACAGCTATACTCATTTCAAAAAACGCCTTTTAAAGGATTACCGTTTTGGTACGATTGTGATCGAATAAACCCTTATGGATAAATTCAGCCGATTGTGAACCTTTCAGTTTACTGTCTATTCAATGTTTGTTCAATTACTCTTTTTACCGCCAAATTGCAAATATAGGCGTTAGGTTCAGCAATAATGCATATCCCCACATTACTCAAAACTAGTAGTCAGCCCGCCGACAGGTCGTATGGAGATGTGGTGATAATAAAATAACTTTTTATTCGTATTGATAATCACTCTATAAGCAGTAAGTATATTTTAGCCATTTCATCGCTCAAACTTCCTTCTTTGCATGCGTGCTCCTCCGGAAGAACACTAAAATAGAGGTTAAAATTTACTTGGGTAGCATACTGGCAATCAAAGGGTGATTTTCCCGCCCTACTACGATTTTCCCATACTACCCCCATAAAACTGAAATCGGCCATAACCAACCAATTGCATACCGGGAATACGTTTTATGTTGGACTGTGCCTGTTTTGAAACAGTTCACTCGGTTATTCTTCTTTTTTGATAAGAATCAATACGATCTTTATAAGGTTCCTCTTCTGGAATGAAATTCAATGTCCAGAGATACCATGTTCTTTCTCCATAGGATTCCAAGTGCACTTAGGTACAATCGAAAGTTCATTCTATCTGAAATACTTCTTTTCAAAATGAAATCTCACATTGATGTATCCAAATATATACATTCTTGACTTTCAAAAATTTACTTAGTGTTATAATCTAACATTTTCGCTTGAACCACAATGCATTTGTATATATTTTTGAGATTAATTCGATGTATTAAGACTTTCTCTATATAGGTTAATCGCTACCATCGTGCTAAGTTCTTAGAACTTGGAACTTACTTTCATACTTATTTCCAACTTTCACACAAATGTAACTATAAATGTAACTCTTCACTGTAATTGTTACTACAACTTAAATCAATACAAGATTTGAGAGCGATAGATAATTGTCAATACAACTATTGATGTATTTTTCAAACTATTTTTTAGTATCAGAACACCCAATATAATGATCATAGTGAAAGTCACATGCTAACCCACATTATTCAGATAACTCCGAATTCCAATAACCTAATTAAAAAGAAACTCTAGTTCCATTCAGAAAGTATGATCAGTTTCAATTCTCAAAAAGCTTTGATTTTCATATCAAAATATATGGAATAATAGATACCTATTACATATCCCCACTATACTTCAAAAAAGTTGTCCTATCAACGCTGAATCGCAATTGCCAACTAAAAGATCAGGAACATTAACTGTAAACTAGAGCTGTCACTATTAGCTTCCAAACAATGGGTGTTTTTATTCTGGTATCGTTTTATAGAACTCTCGTGGTCCTTCGCTTTTATACTGGTATTTTTCAAGAGGACTAACTATTCCAATTGAATTTACTAAACTACACTGTATCTTTATTCTACATTGGATATTAAGAGATCCGCCAAATTGAATCCACGTTCGTTCCATAGCAACTTTCTTAGCTGCTATTTACATCAAAAATGATAGATTGCAAATATCGGTATTCGATGCAAAAAATCAGTCTAAACTGTTTTCGATTTCGCTCTACTCTTCCAATAAGTATATAGAATCCAATCAGTTAGGATTGGAATACAACCGATTCACTCTCCTAACTAATACAGGAGCGGGTATAAAATAAAAAACGATATCTCTTCTTGTTTAATTTTTTGTAGAACTGGAAAAAAGTACGCTCTCACTATATATAGATTTGGTTCATGGATGGATCCACGTTTTCCAATTAATATTTTCTTATCTAGAATAGTCTTAAATTCTTAAATTAGAAAAGATTTGTCAATTAATTTGGACTCCAAATTCCTATGCGAGAAACCAACGGTAGTTTTCTTTTTTCCTAAAAAAAATGTGAAAAAAAAAACTAGTTTTTGTTAAAATTCGTCTTATTAATAAATTTCTATTCCAACACGGAACGAAAGAAGGCAATATACAGGAATGAGGCGTTGAGAAGGAAGTTGTTGATATTTGGCTTGACCCCACGACCGAAAATATATGGGTATAAAAGGAAATACACCAGATCCTAATAGATCCTTACGCGATTAATTGTGGATCCAAGATAACATAGAAAGGTTTGAGTTATTTTAAGTCTATATTTGTCTTTAATCTTGTATGATTTAGTTATATGTATCTAATCTAAATATATGTATCTATCAAATATATACAAAAATAAAATACATGTATACAATGAGGTCCTCTGTATTAGGATTCTTTGTCCATTCGGTTCATCCTTTTAGTAATAAGTATTGGTGCCGGTTTAATTGCAAAATTATTCAACTTTAGGAACGAAACGCAATCTAGTGCGACTTACAAAGGTATCCATCGCTTGGAATTCAAAATTATAATATCCCTCTCCAATTAACTTCACAGCAGCAGCTAGTTCAGACTCATTTGCTAGCCTCACGGATAATTCATTACCCCAGGCAAGATCCACGGTTCCTTCATTACGAAGCTATGTACACATTGCTTCGAGAAGAGCTATTCGTATTTAGCTACGGCCCAGGACTTTATGCATTTCCACCAAGGGTGCACCATAAAGTTTCCATCCACGAATATGTAGTACGGGAATCAGGTTCCAAAGATTCATCGGAGTCAGGAGCTGCGCATTATTGCCAAACGTTGGAATTACTCTCTGAAGCTACAGGCAAACACCCCAACCACACAAGGTTAGAGAGGGACCCCAATCATTGAGTACATAAATTACCGCCGAGCCTTCCCCGATCTTTTTCCAATAATCATCATCGTACCAAGCTAATCCCAACAAAAGCCCAAAGTGATGTCTCTTCACCTCAAGACATCTTAAACCTATACCT